GTACCTGGTCTGTCACGTAGATAATCTTTCGCTTGCTATCAAATGCCAATCCTGTTGGATGGAAAAACCGGGCAACCCCACCTGATCCATCCAAGTACCCTTCGAGATATCCACCTGCTAGCGTCGTTACTTCACCTACAAAATAATGGTATTCAGAAATTTCAGAAAACATTGGAATAATGCATAGTGCATTTTAAAACCACAATGCATCGAAATATTTCTGGAATGTTTATTGTTCATTGACCAATCAGAAGCGAGATAAACCGCAGTGTATTTTCACAAAACTTTAGTCATTTTCATCCGTCTGTGAAATAGGAATTGTACTATTAAATACTATTACCCCCTATTAGCTTATGACATGCGACAAACAAATTAGTCAAACACAGTTTTGATTTTGGCTTTTGATAGCCTACTACACCCTAATAGTTACTATTATAAAACTCATTAATATTCATAAGGCAAAACACAATAGAAATCATAGCCCATGAAGAGAGTTGTATATTACATACAGATCGCCCGCTCATATTGTATATATTACTTAAACACTGACTAGTAGTAATTGTTTCACAGACGGATGAAAATGATTGTAACGTTACAAATAAAAAACTAATTYATCACCAACAAAAACGACCCGTTAAAGCTCACAAGTAGTGCAATTTTGTTGTTTAGAATAAACACAAATTTCATCATGGTTTTTTGTTTGTCACTTTTCTTTCGCACTGTAATTTCCACGTTAACTGTGTTACAATATGATTACTCGAAATTCCATCGTTTTCCATTGAAGTACGTCGTCACTATGAAAACACAAAAAATACCTTTTAAAGTTACCATACGAACAGCGTTATTGTCCTGTCAGAGAAAAAATTAGTACAAAAATTAGACATATTTATGCTGATATAACATTTAAAAACACATATTAAAAAATTTCAATTTAAAAAACGTTACTGAATTAATTATCAGAAATGAACTTCACCTCTGCGAAGCTATTGGACCTTTAGCATTAGGGCTTTGCAAAAATTGCATTACAAAAAAGTAAMAAGAATCACCTCTTTTATCTGATATGGTTCGTTGGTACCGATATGATAATAAAATAGCAATGACGACGAATAGAAAGGTAAATATAGTACGAGCCTCTMGCTGTAAATCCTTCACAATAGAAATGTTACAAATGTAACTACTTTTTTCATTGGTCCAAATTTCATACAAGGTCCAATGGAAAATCTCATCTGATAGCAAGAAAACTAACCACCGATAGATCCTAATCCCGCTTTAGTTAGATAGAGTCGAAGTTATACTTACAAACTCTGCGACGTAAAGTACTTGGTATTCTGGATCGTATGCTATTCCCTCGGGGTAATTAAAGCGTGCCTCTTCTCCTGAACCATCAAAAAATCCCTGTCGACCACCTCCTGCTAACGTTGATACTTTGCCTAAACATGATGAGAAATAATAGAATTTCGTTAACCTTTCTTCATGAGAAAATATGAAATAAACATTGTAGGAAAAAAACAAACTATTCAAAAAGTCAATTGCCCTATTTCATTATGACGTCAAAGTATGTTTAGATTGAAATATGAGGACCGTATGGCACTATGATAGAASATATATAGAAATGAAAGAAAGTGGTCGGAAATTATTTTTTCCGAATTTATTCTTAAGGGTCTTTCTCCCGGAATTGCCTCCTTCTAAGCACTATAACGTTCTTTCATTTCTATATATGTTTAGATTGGACCCATTTATATTCTCTCCAAAAGTAGAACTTCAATGTATCGCGTTTTGATAAATATCATGTATGAAAGATTGTTCATGTACGTTTTGTCTTGATATGCAGTCACTCTGATCCCCTTTGGCGACAATAATCCTTACCGTTAAAACAATACAATGTTTGATGTGACGTCATTATGAAACAGCGCAATTCAGTTTTCCTTTTCTAAAATGTGATTTCTTGACCGAATGTATTAATTTATGTCAGTATCATGAATCTCGTCTGGCTCGCAGGTCGGGGTGTGCTACCATCCACGTTAAGTGGCGCTAATCAACTGTATGCCAATCAAACCGATTGAAATRTCAAGGACAGCATGTGACCTTGAAAACATTGAATCCATTTCATTCGAATAATTTGATTCTGCCACAATAAAACTAATCAAAAMATTTTCTTYACAACTTCGTCAACGTCGTGTTTTGTTGATCAAGGAATGTGATGTAACAGATTAAGTCACAGTTGTTAGTTCTTACCGCTCTTTATATTGACAGCTCTGATCACGTGATTATACTGAAATAAACAATACAACAATTAGATGTTACGAGATTGCGTGACGTAGAAAGTCAACGCGGACTCACATGGTCAGCCACATACAGGACTTGGTTAGACGTATCCAAGGCCAAGCCAGTAGGATGAAAAAACTTTGCTTGTATCTTGTGGCCGTCCTTGAAACCTTKCTTCCCGCCCGTCAAAGTAGTGACTGTAACTATACATTGGGCAAGTTATGTTAACAGATGGGTTGATATTATGATTGACAGATGGGATGATATTATGATTGACAGATGGGTTGATATTATGATTGACAGATAGGACGACATTATGATTGACAGATGGGATGATATTATGATTGACAGATGGGTTGATATTATGATTGACAGATAGGACGACATAATGATTGACAGATGGGATGAAATTATGATTGACAGATGGTTTGATATTATGATTGACAGATGGGCTGGTATTATGATTGACAGATGGGCTGATATTATGATTGACAGATGTCCTGGTATTAAGATTGACAGATGGGCTGGTATTATGATTGACAGATGGGTTGATATTATGATTGACAGATGGGATGACATTATGATTGACAGACGGGCTGACAATATGATTGCTTCTGACAGATGATCAAGAAACAATGTCAACACTTACTGATAACAGATTGACAAAGGTTGATTCACTAAGGTGACCAACCGACCGCTGTACAATAAACCGTCTTACAAAAAAACTATGCAAGGTATAACCTGAATGTATTCACTGATTGCTTGACTCACCGTCGTTAAGTGAAATGATCCTGATTGCATGATTATCCTGCGAGCAATAGTACAAATGATCAGTAACTCAAACAAGTTCAAAAMCTTTTTGTAGAATAGAATTTTGCTTTTTAGTTTTACTCCGACGTCGGATTAAAGTCTGGAAAGTTGATAATTGATCTCTTGAAGACGAATACTAAGAGGACACCTTGAATTCCTACTTCACATTTACGGCGTTGCTTATCCAAACACAGGAGGCTCAGGTGACCCTAATTGATCARGAACTATACAATAACCCTCCTCTTAAAGGTTACAAGTGAAGGTAGGGGTCATCACCAGCCGACGTAAAACACCAAGGAYTCWTWTCAAAGGTCCGATGAGGATGGTCAGCCAATCTAGTAGGTTTATAGKTGTCTTTGAACTATCATGATTTCAGTTGGTACCTATATGATGATTTTAGATTCTACTACTAAGTTATCACTGAAACATGTAAAGTGCCTTTAGTGCCTTAGGGGCAAAAAAACATTAACTCACACGGCACATTTTGGGCTAGCATCCCCAACTGATCCTTTTGTCCAGGAAGTTCCAAAGAAATTAACGATCTTACATTACAAGATAGTCTTGTAAAAAAATGACACTGACCAACATTTGAAAGATAGAGTAAGTATACTTACAGTGTCGCCGACCAAAAGCCTGTTTTTCGTAGCGTCAAAGATTATGGACTGAGGATTATTAAACAAGGCCTTACTTCCAATACCATCCACAAACCCTGTTTTACTTCCTGCAATAGTCGAGACGATTCCTGGAAACCAAGATGTGGAAGTGAGATTGATTATTTCTGTGAATTTYATTTCCTTTGGATATCTTCCAAAAATGCTTTATGGGTAAACGAAGATGAATAAACTAAGTTTCCCTACTTTCAAACGCAATATTCAGAGTACGAAAAGAACTGTAGCTTTCACGGCAGTAGAATATCATAACTCGTCTCTCGTAATATTCAGCAGAGTTTAGAATTCAAACTCGAACTGATCGTGGAGYATGCATCAGAAAAAGAARTTTTATTCATACCAGATTTTAAATCCACTTTTCTTATTCTTGAGTTACCCTAAAAAATAAAAATGTGTCGCGATAATCAATTTTATGACACAAAGCTCAAACCAGGACACGAATTTTGACGCCTTGAAAGGCCGATTGTGCTCTGAGAATTTTAGGCAATACGTTTTGCTCACCGAATCGACCGCGTACATGATGTTACTAGCAGCAGGATTCACARCCATTCCTGTCGGGCAAAAGAAATACGTTAACACTGTTTACATTKATAGAGGGATAGAGGCGCCAGTAGCGCTTCTTGTGTAGACGGCARCCATTAGATGTTATACCTGAGACGTGATAAAACTGTGCTTGTTTTACTGGTCCGTCACGAAAACCTGTCGCTCCTCCTGCGACTGTATTCACACCGCCTTGAAAAGGTAAGAGGAATCATCCTTTAACTCTTAAATACATCATTAACATCATCATAAATAATCGTTATTCATTATAAAAGTTTCATTCATTTAAACAAAAGAGTGTTAGCACTNCCGCAGGCCGGAGGGACTTTTACTTATCTGCCCGAGGCTGAGGGACATTTAATCCCTAATCTCCCGAGGAAGCCATGCTATTACTTTGTAATACCATGATTTCCGAGGAAAAAATTGAAGTTGAACTTGAGCGAATTTGAATTCTTGTTTTTTTGTATGCTCCAATGTTTTCAATTCATGCATGAATTGGAATATGACATGAAAAGAAAGGATACGCACTGTTCTAAGAGTATCACTCGCCGAACAACAGTACAAAATGATATTGATAATCCGACCATTGTTACTGATTTCCCACAACGAACTTTGTTTGAAATTGCTTTTCAGTTCTATTCAATGCTGAAGTTAACGAACCTTAACTTCAACCGCGAAAAGTTGTTTTTATATTTGCAAGTATAATGCCAAGAAGCTTATCAACTATTATCAAACATTGAAATTCGTCAAGTGCACATGCTCAGCGGTACGAAGTAGATACTCGGAACCAGAGCTACTCGGTCAATTTGTCCCAAAAATCATCCCACATTTCAGTGTGAATGAGACGATAACCAGACCGTTCATTGCAGAGGTAAAAAGAAGACAGCTGTAGGGACATTCAGTTGTCCCTGCTGGGAAGCAAAGGTTTCCTTTGCCTTCCGTTTCTCATGAATAACATGAGGGACGATTAGTCAAATCGTCCCTCATGTTATTATGCATGAGGGACGATTACTAGTAATCGTCCTTCATGCAATTCATGAGGGAGGGATGTTCGCTTGTAAACATCCCTCGGAAGACAAAAGAATCCGAGGTGATCATGGTATTACATTAATAATGTCATCATAGGGTTAAAAGACAATTAGGTGTCCATCTAAATGGTCTATTCACCTGTTTCAATGTCAATTTTTCGTATCTTCTCATTTTGATTGGGCCTCGTCGACTCGGGACAACTCTTTAAAACAAGAAAAAATTATTATATATACAAATTTCCATAGTTACATTTAATCTAAAATCATTCAGTTCTTTTMATCAACTGGCCAGCTGTTTTTATCTAGGGCTGCGGTTATTGCAAAYAGCATGTGCCTCTTTTTCTTCTTGAAATAGGTCAGTATAACTATTGGATATATGACCTAGAGAGAGCTATAATTTTCTATTTTATTTGTAGTTAGACTAGCGCTGGTCATTATTTGAATATCCATACATAATCAACTTAGAATGACATTCATTTATGCGCGGCACGTTGCTGTTGCAAGTGAAACTATTCCGTGCTCTGTTTCCAAGTCTCGTGCCGTCTCGTAGGGTAGTTTTAGTTTAYGGGCCCACGCAATTCGAGTTGCTACTACCGAAGCTAGTCCACCCCGACATTCGTTGAAACACGAACAAAATTATTTCCGTGACAGAATTTTCGAATTGTTGGGACGTATTTTCGATTAAAGTTTGATTTTCTAACAATATCCTTAACTATAGAATATTAGYTTTTTAATCTAATTACTAATTACTTACGCAGTCACTAACGTAGAGCGTGCCTTCATGGTAGGTAATACCCCATGGATAACTAAACCGTGCCTTTGAACCCACCCCATCTACTAAGTTGTCRGCATCAAAACATTGGGTTTTACCACCCTGATGAGGCGTTCCACCTCCGGCCACTGTCTGGACATAACCTAAAGAAAGATAACAACTATTACAGTCTAAACAT